TGTTAACAAAAAGCAAGTTAGTCAAGATATAAAGACATTGGTCAAAGGTTTTTTTTTTTAATAAATCTTGGTTTGGTGGATTGAGAAATAGATTATAACATGAACACACTGCTTGGTTTGATTTAGAAATAGATTATAACATGAACACACTGTATAAAATAATGACATTTTGACTCAGATAGCTTCACCCTTTTTTAATAAATACTTGCATATTCACACCCAACCATAAAAAAAATCATAATCATCATCAAATTGCATTTTTTTAAAGAACAAACATAAGTCTCTAGTGCATTCATTCATTTACACCGACCAAAAATCAAAGCACACAAAGCCTACAATGATAAAAGCCTGAGATTAAAATCTATTCCGACTTGGATTAAAACCTAACCCACAAAATCTTAAATCAAGCCCCTCGCCAACCCAAATACTAAAAAACATACTGTATTTGCATCAATTCCAGCTTAGACTTACTTCAACAGTGTTTTAGAAGATAATTACAGTAGAAAAGCAGCAGAACAACATTATTTACCTTTGGATTTTTTTGTGCAAAATATAAGAATGAACATCATCTATTCAACTACAGCTTCATGTTTTTTTAAATGTTGACAGACACTATGTCTGAATCATAAAATACATCCATACTGTTTTATGGATTGACACTTTCTTCTCAACTCTTAATGTCATTCAGCATGCAGCAGGGGGCAGTAGAATTATTAACTCTTAAACGTGTGTATGTTGGGGTGTGCTCTTCACTTTAACAGAACAAGTAACTTCTTACTGGTGGATTTCATCCTCTTAATTGTCTGTAGCAGCAGGTTCTGACCTCTCTTCCTCCTTCTCCTCCTCCTCCATACCACTGGTGGAGGGAGATGTTCCAGGGACAGTGTCTCCCGTCTCTGATTGATTTGTGTCACTCAGAGCTTCACTGGTAACTTCTAGACCAACAGAATCGTCCGCAGATTCTCTTTCTGGAGAAACTGCGTCGACACCAGGTTCCTGCTCAGTTTTCTCAACATCTGAACATTCAGCTTCTGTTGGTGGAGACTGAGGTATCTGGGAAATGGACGAGGTATCTGAAAAAAATTAACACCATTCATAGAATTTTTATTTGATAGTAATTTATAAAATAAAAATAATTCAATGTGTTTTATCTCAGTTACTGACATCATTCAAGAATTTTTAAAAAATCCCCTAAATTCAAATACTCAGCAATTTAGCTGCGAAAGCTACATATTTTCCAAAGGACAATAAAGGCATCACTCACTTTCTTCTTCTGGGTTTTTATTTTAGCTTAGAGAACTGAGCCACAGTTACAAGACATCTGTAAATTTGACTTGTTTTAAAGCTGGAGACTACAAAAAGGTTATTGACGGGCTGCTAGCTACAGACATTAGCTCGTAGAGACTGTTACAGTACTTACCCAAACTGCACTGATCTCTGGTTTCATCCCCGTAATTATTCAACATAGAGACTTGGCCGAGGTCGCTGGTTGATATGTCTGGAGATGCAGTTTCAGAGACAATGGAAACATCTGAAAGTTGTGTGAAACAAATGTTTTTAAAGTACAAGTTTTAGGCGGGTGTGTAAATTTACTAATACCTCCTCCTTTGGGCAGAAACAGAAGCTCACTCCGACAACACTTAAGGTTTCTGGCCATGCTAAGCCATAAAGGAACCATTTAATATTTTTTTAAGAGTAAAATTTCAAATTTTCTTACCTATGTTTGAAGGCGGCGGTGTGGGTGAAGGAACAAACAAGTCCTGCACAACTCCTTCATTCTGATTCAAAGCCGTTTCATTGACATTAGAGAAGTTACATTCGACCTCCAACTGTGCCTGAAGAGAGAGGGTGACAACTGAAGTCTTCACCAAAAAACACTCACAAAGTAAGAAAAAGTTTAAAAAATAATCTACCTCAGTTTGAGCACCTATCAATGACTCTTCAGTATTGCTTGTGAGTGTGGGCTCCACAATAATTTCACTCTGGTTTTCCGTCTCAACAGAACGACTTGGGATCCTGTGCAAGTAGCCGTAGCCGATACCACAGCCTAAGCTACAATTCAAGAAAAAGGTAACATGGTGATAACAGTATATTGAATTTTAAGCAGAAAATTAACAGAGTAAAAACTGTCAGTAATGTGGTTAAACTGCCTACCTCCCTTCTCCTCCCCACGCTCCATTAGGAGTCACTACAACCTCCCTGCACTGGTCTGTCTTATTATTGTAAACCAGCAGCTTTAGAGGTTTCCCTTCACTGGCTTCAACCAATGAGAAGAAATCTTCAGACTGCAGGAAGTCAGAAATTTCAATTCAGTTTTTTGAAACAGAAGACGTTAAGATTGTACACGTGTGGATCACCATGATGAAGACGTACGTCCTGTAACACCTGGTCGGCTCCAACGATGAAGTCATCGTGAGCAATGAGTCCAGCCAACGCTGCAGGAGAGTTAGGCTCTACGTCCTAGAAGAAAAAGGAACATAATGAAGACACTGATGACAAATACTGAAACAATGTTCTGGTCATTTGTACTTTTGTACCATTTCACTGAAAAATAGAAAAACAAACAAAAAAACCATCAGGTTCTAACAGCTTAAGCTTAAGTGCCACAAAATTAAGTCTGAACAGGTTCTAACAGCTTAAGTGCCACAAAATTAAGTCTGATTACTCCTGACACTTCTATTCTTCTGTCTTCTAAAAAAAACCAATTACGTCAATTACTTCTCTAAGTGCTTTATATTGCACTGAGGTCAGTGAAAGATCAGCAGCTACAAGTTAAACAAAGACAAATAAACCCGACTTACCAGGACGTGCCACACATTCTCATTGGCTCCTTCGAAGCTGCAGAAGCGGACGCTGGCCCCGAGAAGACCCTGACCGCCCCACATGTTACTAGGCGTCACCTCCACTTCCCTAACACGCTGTGTTTTAGAGTTGTACAGTTGGAGTCTGACCACTTTTTCAACATTGGCCTTTAGAAGGTCCTTCAGCAAGTTGTTCTCCTTGTTCTGGACAAACACAGATCACCTCCGTGTGTCAGAACAGGCATGGTAAAAAGAAATAAATGACACGCAGAAGAAGAGAGAACGCGATTAAGGAGGCGGACCTCATGGTCTGTATTCCCTCCGGAGGCTCTAATTGGAGGTTCAAATTGTACAGCGATGACAAGATAATTGGCTGTCACGATGAGTTTGCAGTAAAACACAGCACAGAAACACACAAAGAAAAGAAAAATCAATTTGTCCAAATCATGTTACAGCCAGAACCCTGCAAGAACACAACCAGGTAGTGGCAGGGTTTACAAACCCTGTGTAGAAATGTGGCTGGTTTAAGGTAACTCTACTGTAGGTTATTGGTGAGATTTTTGTGGAAATGACAAAGAGGCAGGGTTTTGTTTTTGACACAGAAGCAATTTTCACAGAAACAACCTCAAAACAGTAAAATTGAAATGTTTTTCAGCACACGTTTGTTGGACCAGGCCACAGCGTCTCTGTGCTGTGTCCTGTATGAATTGACATGTATGTTAAAAGAGTACAGAGTTGATGGTGATGATGATAACACTTTAGTGTAATCAGAAAACACACATATGTGCAGCTGCACCAACAACTGCTGTGCTGTTGCAGCTGCAGTTTATCAGTTTGCTGATTCTGCCAATCTCTGTATTTGTTTAATTTGGAGGTGCATACCTCTGTGCACCATCTGGATCAGTTACATCTTTGTGTTGTTTAAACAGGTGACACGTTCAGACTTTAATCTTCAACAATCTTGTATTGTCCAGTTTATAAACCTACAAAGTCTGGACATAAATATAAAGGCATTTATTCTCATAAACCGAAGGATGAGACTTTTTTTTTTACTGTCATTACTTTCATTGTACTTTCATTACATTTCCTAAAGTACCTAAAAAACCATGCTATTTTACTGCAGTACTTTTGACTTTGAGACTTGTCAATTAAAAATATTTAACATCATGGAAGCCGTCATTACTCACAAGTCTGGTGTTTCCTATAGAGAGGATGAAGTCAAAGAAAGGCTCCAGACCAGCCTTCAGAGCAGGTGAGTCTCTCTGTACCTGAAATATAAGACATTTCCTTTGTTAAGGTTGTGCAGAGCTGAATGAATGAATCAAATTCGGAATTAAACACATTTAAAACTCAACAAATTTAGAAAATCTAAAGCAATACCCAGACCTTGATCAGTTTTCTATCTCTGGCACACTGTTCAAGGTCAGGAGGACACAAGAACACAAGCTACCAAAATAAAATAGGATTGTAAACACCAAAGTAACAAAACAACACATTTGAACTTTCTTTTAAAAGTCGGACCAAATGAACAACTTTTCAGTACAGTGATAAATGGCTGTTTCAGAACATCACGAACTTATTGTAAGGACCGTTTGAGACACATTCTAAAAAAGTCATTTTTAACATTCTGCAGAAAACTGTTCATCTGTTTGCGTTTACTAAGTTACAGTATTCGTTTCTTGCAAAACATAGTACCAGGCCGTTGCATCTGTATTTACAGCACCCTCTATTGGATAGGAATGGCAGAGCCACATGCTCTGCCTTTACAAACACTAAACACAATTCGAACTCTATCTTCAAGCGACTTCTAGTGTCCCACTAAAACTTGTGTTGCCTGGAAAAATGCAGTATTTGGAGTAAAAGATTATCGGCCACTGTCCCAAGCACAGCCCAACAACTTGGGCGTTTTCCAAATGCCACCTCATCATGGGCGGACACGGTTTAAAGCTAACCTCAATCATTAATAGTTACTACAGCACAACTACATTCACAGTAACTCTTCAAAGTATTACACTCCATATTAATGTACAATTTTCATAGCGGCCATTGCCCATTTAAATGTGAGCTATTGGTGTTCACCAGGTGTTTCGTGATTATCTGTGCTCGAGCATATAACGTACCCCGTGGACGTGGTATCCACTGTTGGCTCCGTCGTCAGACAGAAACGAGCTCTGCGGAAGCCCCATTGTTATAATGGTGTAATTTTAATATCACAAAGATTAGATGTAACGGAGGTAGATTAGTGTTATAAAAGAAGGCATCACGAGCTACACGGCTGCTCTGGGCTACCTGCTAACAGCTAAAGCAGCTTTGCAGCAGCAGTATCAGCGACAGCAGGTGCTGAGCTGGACGTCCAGGCAAAACTAATAAATAAAGATATCAGAAAAATCGATTTGTACAAGGAACAGGAGCTAGCTCCGAACTGCGTTCGATTAGCAGTCCCTGATCTACATGGGACCAAGACGATGATGACGTATACTTCCTGTATATTTGCACTTATTCAAAAACCAATAATTTAGCATGGATTTAAAAATAAACCATCAAATGAATATGCAAACTTTAAAGACTTTACAGTTAATAGCTCAAGAAATAAAAAAAAATATATTACTTGTTATAGTAAATATTAAAAGTGCTGACAAATTACTACCTGAAAACGATCTGGAAACATTCAGTCACAAAACTGCCTTTGTAAAGAAATTTTAAAAAAAAAAGAAGAAATCTTTCCATCTTCTAAACGTTAATACAGTGTGAAAGGGTGTACGAGGCACTTTATTGCATATTTTAATTGATTGTATTTATGTCATGTTATAAATGTATCGCAAAAATTGTTAATAAAATCACACACTGTTACAACGTGATGGAATAGTTTCCTCTGGCTGCAGTTTAATTTAGACACTTATCTGTAGAACATGTTGTGCTTGTGCCTTTTCACGTGGTTTTGGATGACTTTGCCATTAAATGAATGCAGCTGTGTGTTTCTCACTAAGATAAGAAATAACAGATCTTGGCTTTAAAAGGTCATGTTAATTAAATCTAAATAAAACTAATTCCAAATTCATAAACAATTAAAAAAAGAGAAAGAAATTTACTCCTAATTTTTAAAGAACTTGGACCAGAAATTAAATGTCTCAAGTTCTCATTTATCCTAGTAAAACATACAGTAGTAAAACTTGGATCGGGAGCAGTGACGATGATGATTTTGGCTGCAGATGTTGGCAGGTCACGTCACTGTTGCCTCACCCATGTTGAAGGTCTTAAGCCACTATAAATACTTAAAAGCAACAGCATCTCATCCTAACTGGTACAAAATGGTTTGGCTTTTGGCTTTTCTGGCCTGCTTTGGTAAGACCGTCTTGTAGGGTATTTTCATCAATGCAACTATCGGTATTCATGCTAATGCTATTTACCTTTGTGTGCTGTGTTTATGGTTATGGGAAAAATCAGGGCTGATTCATGCCGAGGTGCCCTTCAACCACAGGGTCCACAATGAGAGAGTCATAGGAGGACACAACGCTGAACCAAACACTTGGAAATGGCAGGTAAATCAAACACATGCTGTGATTCTCTTATGGTTCTTTTGTTGTTAATTCTTTTTTCCTTTTTAACAGAAGTTTTGAATTTCGTTTCTTGTCAGGTTTCTCTCCAGTACGACTCGAGCTACCAGGAGGCTTACAGCCACATCTGTGGAGGAACTCTTATCGATGCTTTCCATATCATGACGGCAGCTCACTGTATCCTAAGGTTTGGACCTAAACTGTTGTTCTAGTCACATGATCATTTCCATATCACTCTAGAAGTGACCAAACGTCCACTTGTTGTCCTTTATAGTTATGATCCAAGTCACTTCCGTGTGGTGGTTGGTGAGTATAACTTGTACGAGTTTGACGGCAGTGAGCAGTTCATCCGCGTGGAGCAGATCATCGTTCATCCTGGCTGGAATGGAAACCTTGGCAATGGGTACAGAAATGAAACAAACTCTTTGTGTAGAATACAGTAGTTTAGAGAATAGTTTAAAGGTTGGTGAACACGCAAAGAAGTACATCTGGAAGTAAAACATTTGTTTAGTGGCAAATCAGTGACTGCATGAAGACGTGCAAATGTCTTTCCTGTGTCTCTCAGAAATGACATCGCCCTCATGAAACTGGTTGATCCTGTGTATGACAATGGCTTTATAGCCATTGCTAACCTTCCATACGAGGGAGAAACGCTGCCTCATGATTTCACCTGTCATGTGACTGGCTGGGGCCTTATGGACTGTACGTAGAGTCTCTAGATGCTTACGTTTGAACAAAAACAAAATAACAGAACCCAACAAACTTTGACGTTTCACTGACCCTTGTTGTCACAGACTACGGAACTGTCCCTGACATCCTACAGGAAGCGCCCATCAAAGTGGTGGAGCACGCAGTGTGTTCAACCCCTGAATGGTGGGGAATCATTGCCCTGGAGAGCATGGTGTGTGCTGGAGGAGATGGTGTCATCTCAGGCTGTCAGGTACAGTGAAGTCCACCTCACACAGTCTGTATGTCACTGTCCTTTGTCAATTCCTCCTTTTTGTTACTGTTGTTCCCTTCAGGAATTGTAACAACTGTAACAATTCCAATTAACCTCTAACCTCTCTAACCCTGTGACCATACATTCCGCCCTCCTTAGAAAAGGAATTATGTCAATGGAGTAAAACCTCATAAAAAAGGTTTTATGACTACATGGTATTATAATATCTTCTTGTATCTGTCTCAGGGAGACTCTGGTGGTCCTCTAAACTGCTTGACTGATGGAGTATGGAGAGTCCACGGTGTGGTCAGCTACGGTCCATCTGGTTACTGCAACCAGTTGACCAAACCCACCGTTTTTACCAAAGTCTCTTCCTTCCTGGGCTGGATCTATTCAGTAAGTTGTCATCAACCCCTAGAAAGTTTAAAGGTTTCGTTTTTAAATTAAGTATTTTAATTATGTCAACATTATTCACATGATTTTATTCCAATTTGACTTCTTGAATCAAATTATTCATCATAGGTTACCTTGGGTTAATGGAAGTGACGCTGTCCAAATGGTCAAATGGATTTTACAACAATAAACGCATTTGTCTTTAAAGTGTCTTGTCTTTATTGCCTTGACAATGTTTAGTTGTAATTCTCAATCAGTCCAAAGGATGGCGACAGTGTTTGATACGGTTTCTAGCATAATAGGAAAGGATATAATAATAATAATAATAATAATAATAATAATAATAATAATAATAATAATAATAATAATAATAATAATAATAATAATAAAACCCTGTTCATTTACTATATCTGTGCTAATGACCATGGCTGGCTGACTCTTATCTGTACATTTTATTGGAATGCAGCTGGTTGCTTCCCACCATGATAAGAAAAGCAAGATTTTAGTTTAAAGTAGGATTCTGAAAGAAATGTAGATGCAAAAGCACTGGTTTTTACTGATTAAAATGTATAAATGTTTCGATTTCTGCACTCACTCCCTGTCTCGCGCAGCGATTTCTGGCTCCATCATGTGGTAATTAAAAGAAATTGGATGTACTCAGTAAGTCCTATGTCATGTCTTCGTGTGATTCTTAAAGTGTAAAAAAAAATAATTTGCCTGATTTTTCCTTTTTGCCAGGTTAAGAACGCTTAGTGTTACACTGTCCAAAAATAAACCATACAGTTTCAGTTTCATTAAATTTGATGATAAACTCAGCCAGAGGGTGGCGACAAAACACCACATTTGTCACGAATTCAGTACATAAGCTTAATTGTGTACTTGCCTCCCTTGTACTTTTCTACATACAGGGAAACACTGGTTTTATTCCTTGAGTCGCTGTTTTGAATTTAACCACTATGATTCTCAGACAACAGAAAATTCCTGACAATTCCCAAGGAGTCGGGACACTTTTGAAGTATCTAAAAACCTAGACAATGTTCTGACCTAAAAAAAATCCCATCAAAGCTTTTGTCCAAACATGGCACAAATTTTCTTAATTGTGTCCAAATGTGAGCTATATGCAGTCACGGGGAGGACATTTCCTCCAGGTCCTGTGTGGAATCTGAGGCCATATGTTTGTGGTGGTAGTCAGGAGGTCTACAGCATGACATCACCTACAGAACACTGACTGTTTTTGTCTCAGCCATGGCGACCAGAGACCACAGACAAATTCCAGTGGTTTATACCAAGCGGGTATAAAAATGCTTTTTATTGTGAGCTGTATATTGTTTTTAATTTTATAGGAACCATAAATTCTGTTCAAGTTCACCACAAGTATAATAAAGTATGGAATATGTTAGTACATAGGTAAAGTTACAGATAATCTGCCTCTTATTCTCAATTTTATAGATCCACAAGAAGGTGATTGCAACACCTTTGCTCTTTTACTGCCCTACATTTCACATAAAAGCACATGAATTTACTGTGTAACATTTATTTGCCCTTTGTGGTCACCATGCCATGTCAGGAACTATCAGTATCAACAGTTTGTGCCCACTTGAAAAGGTTTGAGAGCTCCTGGATTAAAATGGTAAAACCCAATTTTTTTAAAAAACACATTATGTTCTGTCAAAGGATTATTTCCAGTGTCCCTATAAGCAAATGTAAACAACATATCCCAAACAAGCAAAATCGTAGGAAATGTGACCATTAAAATATCCAGAACCAAGGCATTTTACATTCAATTAATATATCAACAAGTGCACCATATTTCAAGAAAAGATGGTTCTGTGCTCATTTCATCTTTGCATGAAGAGATTGAATATTTGTTTTTTGTTTTTAATTCATCTTGATTCCCATATTTATTAGTAGATAATTTGCTGGTTCAGGAAACTCCTAGAACCTAGCTTCTGGTCCCACATTACATCTGTGAAAATGCTCTAGTTTATTTCAGCTATAAGAATGACAATGTGTATATGTGCTAACTAAAGCAACATGTACCAACTTTTCTCGAAATTAAGTGGTTCTCTCAATTATTATTATTATAATTGTATTACTTTTCACAGTAAATCGATATTAATGCGTGTTGTCACGACGTTAAAATTTATTAAAATTATTACTATAATAATTGTATTACACAGTAACTCGATATTAATGCGTGTTGTCACGACGTACCTTAAACTGGATCCCTCCACCAAATCGACGTCAGTTGAATTATGCGTTAAATAGTTCGCTTTTGTAGGCACTAAACCTAGTCAAACATGGTAAGTAATGATATACGTAATACAGCAAAGTTACGTGTTTAAGGTTTAATCATGTTCGCTCAATATAACTTCTAAAAATAGTATAAAGTTCAGCGTTTTAGGAACCGTTCTCGTATTTGTCACGTATTTCATCATGTGTTACGTCGTGAGTTGATTGGCTGTAAAGAGGCACGTGAGACAACGTGTGGAAAGTGCTGTTTGTCTTAGCAGGGTTGTTGTTTTTCTTTTCTTTCTTTCTTTTTTTGTGCTGTTGTGCTAATTATCCCCTATAATGAAGGAGACAAATGATCATACATTATGGGATTTGGGTAGTAATTATCTAACGTCTGGCAATACCGGAAACCAAACACGGCATGTATGAAACACCGCCCACTCAGTTTCGTCCCTCACGTGATCACAACAGAACGTGTAAAACTGCAGTTATCCACAAATACATGAACTACAACGAACACAGCACAGACCAAAGACAAGTTGTTTAAAAATTGTGTTTTTTTTTTATTATTATTCGGAGGGACGGGTTGTCAAAATGGCTTAGATGAAAGAGACTGTTCTGAAACAGCTGGTTTTTAACAAGTGAATATGTAAAAAATAAAGCAGCTTTGTTTGCTCTGCAGGACCATTCAAGCCAAACATATGTACAACACAAAGGCAAAAGAAGTAAGACACGTCTCTGTGAAAACATTAGAAAAAAAAGTACTGTAATACAATACGCTGAGAAACACTCACGGTCGCCATGTTCTTCATGTGAATGGATGTTTTTTTTGTACAAGAGAAACAAACTTGCAGAAAAAAATAAAATAAAATCAGTGCCCTCTTCATGGCATAGGAACAGATGTCGGTGTAATCCCCAAAAAGGCAAAAGAGAACGCGGAGAAATACATTACCAACGTGAACGCTGCACTTTTCAAAGTATACAATGAATTAGAACAAGTTTTAACAAACAGGACCTGCATGCATAAGTTCTAAAGGGTCCAGAAAAAGGCTGCTGTAGAAAGTGGGTGAGAGATATGTACAATCGAGCGCGGTCACCTTTGAAATGTCTTCTTCTGTCACTAAAGAGGCAACTCTCTCCTCAGCATCCAGGGATTTTTGTTGTGTGGGATAAAAATTGTATAATATATGCAGTTTTTATCCACAAAAACCCCCATTTTATTTATAACAACACGTGGTAACCCAAGTCACAGACTTCCAAGAGAATTCAGAGCACAATCAAATTGATTCTTCTGCCATTAGTTTTCTTTTCTTCCTTTTATCTATTTTTTTTACAATTTTAGTGGAATTTTCGCAAAGACGTCTGTCCATTTCTATAAGACCAACTTTTGAAAAATACTTCAGGATGCATTTAATTACCTTCATACTTATACATTTCTCTATAGTTAATTCATATAATACAAACGTCATCCACCGGATTGAAAATGAAACATTTTTTGCTTTTATTCCCCCTTCTCATAATAAAATATGTTTTTAAATTTGTCAGTGATTAGAATCCATTTGTCAAACTACATAAATTAGTTACAAAATATTAGTGTTAATTTCATTTTAAAATCTATGCTTACATTATAGGCAGCATCACAATGGAGCCATAATTTAGTTTCAGTGATTATAGGGAGATTCCACAGTTTTCAGTCCCAAAAAGCTTAAAATGGAAGCACTGCTGGCTCCCACTGTTAGCAGGCACATCCAGTAAACTTCACTACAGAACCATGTTTTATTGCCGGAAAAATGACTTAAATTAAATTAAACTAATGCAAAATAAGCACATAATAAGTTACCGTTAAGAAAAAAAAAAAGAGTTAAATGAATACGAGAAATAGATATTAAATACTTTTGATGAATGTGTGGTCCCATTTCCCATCACGACGCCTAAGTGTGTGGTATGGAAAAATGGAAGGAAGATTGCACTTTGGGGTGAAATTAATCAAACCACAGTGCGTTTGTGATTGAAAAGGATGTCTGAAATAAATTAAAAAAAATTATGAAGGAAATAATTTAAAAACCAAAGAAAAAGGAAATAAAAAATAATACAGCTATATATTCTGAATGCTATGAGCCATTTTTCTACTAGACAAACCCAGCTCATAAATAAGAAACTCCATAATTTAGCCTCCAACTGTTGAATCCACCCCATACAGCCAAAACAATGCCTATTCATACACAAGTATTTTCACAGATAAAGTGCTGATCAGGGAGCTTTTGAGAGGGATTTTCTTCTTTTCTGTACCATGTGACCTTTGGGAGATAATGATGTGGGGGAGGAAGAGTCCATGACTCCTCCTTCTCCCTTCTCCTCCTCCTAGAATCATCTGAATGCAAACCCAAAGGGAGGATCAGAACAGGATTTTGTGGTTTTCATATGAAGGCCATCACAGCAATGGTCACCATACGTTGCCTCCAAAAAGCTAGAAAGCTAGAAAAAAATTCCCTGAGGTGCACATTCAGCTGTGTTGAGACCCCCTCCCCAACTTGGCCCCTGTTTGAGGTTGATTACTGCTGAAAATACACTTGGTTGATCTCTGTTTGGTTATAAAGAGCTTTTCTTAGGAATTTCAGAGCCATCATTGGTTTACTATGGGCCAAATCCACCTCTAGTTGTTACATCTTAAAAAAAACAAACACTAGCTGCCATCTCACACAGCATTTAATCCCAAACTGCTTTGCTAACATTTTGAAGGCAAGTCTGGAATTACTTTTTTTTCCAGGCAAAATGGGGAAGAAAAAAAAAACAAAAATCACAGCTTCCTCTTGACATTGACATCTTATGTGCATCAGTCCTTTCCTGAATCCCTCTCTCTTTTCACTGCACTGTCCACTGTATTTGCAGGTCTGCAGGTCAGACTTTCACAGACTCCATCACAGACAACTTCATGGCTTCCTCCAACAGCTGATTGTCCGTAAAGGTAGCGGGGGGCTCAGGGACAGACTCTGAGAGGCCGATCAGTGACTCCAGGAAGCAGGTGCCTGGATCACTGGCCATGGGGAAGCTGGGATACGTAGGCAACTGAAAATGGAAAGAGTTGTCCATGTGTTCGTACTCCTTCAGGGAGTTGTAGAGCGAGCTGGAGCCCAGACAGGGAAACCCGTCGAAAAATTCAAGGTCCGACTCCGATGATAGGCTCAGGTCCATGCTGTAGCTCGCCGAGCGATCGACAGTGGGGGAGGGGGTGTGTGGGACACCGCTGTTGCTGTGGAACAGACCGTTGCCCTGGTTGGCGTTTTCGTCCAAAAGTTCAGAAATGGCTGTGGCTCGATTGTCCGTGTGATCGCCCAACAGTGCGACGTCTATACTGTCGTTCTCGTTGGTGAAATCCACCATGCTGAAGCTGCTGAAGGCCACCTCAGCGCCCAGCTGCTGCTGCTCCTGTCTTTGACTCAGGCAGTCTTTACAGTTCTTCTCCTCACCGTCTTTGCTACTTCTTGAACAGCTCTCTGCATCATTGAAGCTGAGGATGCGACTCAGGCCCTTCTCGTCCATGTCCAGATGAGTCTGATGCTGACTGGGGTTCTCGCCCGCCTCCGAGTCCTCACTCTGACCCGAGGAGTCCGATAAATCCGTCATGTCGCTGCTGCAGCTATTCTCTCCGGCTGCGGCAAGTTCTGAGCTGAAGGAGAAGGAGGGCACTGCTGGTACAGAGGAGGTCACTCTCGTGGTGTCCTCCTCCTCCTCGGTACTGGACTGCTCCTCAAGTCTCTTCTCCAGCTCCAGCTTCATGATGGTGTGGATGTAATGCGTGTGCACCCTGGTGGAATTGAACTCGATTCGACCCTCTGTGTTGCCACAGCCGTCCTTGGTGCAGCCGCACGGGAAAGAAGAATGATCCATCTGTGAAGTGGAAACATTTACATTAACGATCACGTTGGCGAAACAGGAAAACCCAGCTGTACAATTAAAACTTTACAATCCAACCAAGCATAAACCTTTATAGGGGATTTTTTTTCTCCTACCTGACATTTGATGCCAGCGAGGCTGCAGCTACACGTCTCTGGCTCACAGAATCCCTGACAGTCACAGCCACAGTTCTCTCGGGACAGCCTCAGCTCGTGCAGCTGCCTCTTCTCCTCCTTGTCGATCTTCTTCACACCGGCCGCTTTGAGCAGCGTGTAGCGCCGTTTGGACGGATACGGTTGGAGAAAGGAGCCCTCCTCCAGGTTGGCTCCGCTGATGTCGATGTCCTGCTCTGGGATGTCGTCCACAGTCAGGTGATCTGCCTCCTCACTCTCCTGGGTGCCATTCTTAGTTAGCTGGAAAACAAAGGATCCCATGATGAATATTTAACATTACAATGGATAAAGCGGTTCAACAGCTGAAGCTAACACAGCTAAAAACTAGCCAACAAACAAGAGCCAACCCAGGTAATAGCTAAAAACAACACTAAATACAGCAGAAAATGCTACGAGCTAGCCCTGAATATAAATTACCTTTAGCTTCAGAGCCTCCAGCTTCTCCTCCCTGAGCCTGTTGAGGAGTTTCTCCCGACGCAGAAGTCGCTGCTCCACAGCAAACTCCGCCAGTGTGTAGGTGCGGAGAGCACTGTGGCGCTGCATCATTCCCAGAGTACATCCTCCTCGACTGGGAACGCTGGTGAAACCCTGGCACCGAGGGAAGAAGAAGACGGTGACCTGGTCGAAGGACACGTTTCCCCTCCGTGGCCTCTTGGCTTTTTTCAGGATGGACGTTGCTGCAGATGAAGGAAAAGATGGAGTTAGAAAACAGATTTGTTTAAGGAGTTTTTTAGAAAAAGTGAAAAGCTCTGAAGTTGTTGTGTTTACATTTCTGCATTTTTGTACCACTAGATGGCACAGTGAGACATCACTTGATACCCTGATAATGTGTGCAAACACAGTGACGAGAGTGTAAAAAGATACCCCTCTGATTCATGCCCCTGCTTCTCCACCAGGCCTCATCATGTAGCCTTTGAAAAGACACTGCCAACAGCAGTCCAACACACTTACATCCTGTGAAGTGAAACCTAAACTTCCAAGAATCCTTTCAGCTTTTTTCCCCCTATTGTAAAACAAGAAAAAAGTGGGGACCTAGCCCTGGAATGTTCCTTTCCTTTCCTTTCCTTTGGTGGAAATTAGCAGGACTGCCAGGATCACAGGGCCGTGAGTTAATGCTGGAGGCTTCCGGATGGGGTGGAGGGTGTGAGGGTGGAAGAGCAGTTCTCAGGACGGGAATAAAACACTGCCTACACCTCTCTCTATTTTTCTCTCTCTCTCCCTGCTGTAGCTGACAATCCCTGCAAATGAGCCAATAACTGAGCCGGGTCAAAGGTCACTTCTCTGGCAAGAACATTCAGAAGTAACAGAGACCCAACTGAAAATTTCTATCATCCAGACAAACACAACGAAAACATATGGGACTCAGAGTAGAACCATATGTGGGATCCAGCCCAACAATTATTAAAGCATTATTCCAAAATCCCACTTCCTCCGCCCACAATATCCAACCAGAACCAGCAACTTTTTCCCCTTTTGCTTGATGTGAACACGATCGGACGATAACACTTTGGCGTACGGTTTGCATTGTCTTTATAATGCGGTGGGAAACTTCCTGTAGATGACTTTTCTCTCAGCAGCAGGGCTTTGTTAAAGACACACCCTTGAACAACAACAGCCCAGCAAAGTCACCCAAGTCTGGGAAACTGTGTACGAGGCATGATAATTGAAGCCTGGAGGAGGAAGAAAAAAAACATACAACTGCCATTTCATCTGCTGCTGCAGGGGTGATGCAGCAGATGAAATAAACCGCTGACTTTCAGCTCCACATCCATCAAATCCACTCAGCCCTGTGACACCTGCACAAGACAAATGACACCACCCTGGTACAGGACAGCTTTCCTGCTGGGGGTTTTGCTTCTCTCTGTCCAACACAAACACTGGATTATAAACCCTCCATCCAATCTGCTCCTCTGTGTTTCTCTGTGTGCCGTCTTTTCTTGATTGTTCTGGGGGTTTTTTTTATTCCTTTCACTCAGCCTTTTTCAGCACCTGTGCTGGGAGCATGCCTGGGCTTCAGACAAGGCTGCGAGTGTTTCCAGCCTTGGCACCCTGCCACGCTTCACTTCCTGGCTCCCTGCCCCACCATCTTGGAAAAAACTCACAACTGTTTGCCCTCCTCTCCTGCATTACAATCCCTCTCCACAACTGACCCCCTCACCCGCTCGGCCCTCTCCCCCTAATATCAGGTCTTGGACCCGACTGTAACACCCAGTGGTGACACTCCAGTCGCTCTGCGAGGGGTCTAAGAAAAAAGAAGGTGAGAGTCGGAGCCAAGGTGAAAAGCCACCACATAATGCGATTAGCCCTTTCGCAGCTTCGGGGCATGAAATCAAGAGGGGTATTCATTGCAGAAGTCTGAAATCATTTCTGTGAAGTAGGCTGTGGGCTGCCAGCTGCCTAAATTCCTTAATCTCTCCCCCATTTTTATGGCTTTGTTATCAGAGTCTCCATGGAGCAGTAAAGACAAGGCGAGAGCACACATTAAAAAAGTACGTACCATCAGCTCTTTCTATGATTTATTATCCTTGGAAGAGGACACTTACTGTTGAAATTTGTTGCCGGGGAGCTGGGGTTGCTGGGAGTGGAATCCAGGGTGTCTGAGTAGCAGCTCTCGCCCTCCGAGTCCCAGGCTGAGCAGGCGGAGGAGAGGGAGGAGGGCGAGGGCGAGGAGTAGCACGGGTCCTCATCCACCTCCTCAAACTTCCTCTTGAGAAGCCCACTCATGGTGTCAGTGAGAGCAGTCTGCACAGAGAAGCAGAGGGAGCGGGTCGTTAGCCAATTATTTAGACTTAGTTTAACAGCTGTGATCAGAGAACACTTGTTTTTACCTAATAAACAAAGAGCGTTAAAAGGTGGAGAGGGCAAGATTTCAGGGTTTCCACTGAGAAACTGAGAATGAAGCTAGTCCTCACTCCTCCACAGGGGGCGCTACAGTATTAATGCAGTATTTGAGATGACAGGACAAACACAACATTATTGTTTGACACTAATCCAGCCTTGTATCTCAGGCAGGATATTTTCCACAGGAACAAGTAAAGCATCAGCACTTTTGTTAGTGCAGCACCAAGCAATGGAGCTGTACACCTCCAACATTACTGCAGCAAGACTTTATTTACAAAACCAACAAAGAATGTATTTATTTAATTTTGTGAATCTAGTGAACATTTCTACCTAGTTTTGTGGTTGGATTCATCATTTTACACTTCTGGTAACTAAAAGTAATAAAGATGGAATGTCTTTCATATGGTTTCAAGTTCATTTTATCTCATTCAAAAAAAATCATTTTCTTTTTTTTTTTTTTTTAAATCTTGTACACACAGTAAAGAGCTATTTATTTATTACCGTTTATCTGTTTACTGCACAGAAGCTCATGTGCACACACAGGCTCTGTTCTGTGGTGTTATTGGCACAGGCCGGTCCTGTGGTTAGCCATGTGAGACCGGATCACAACCGCTCGCTCTGCTCAGCCGAGTGTGGGAGTTCACCGTGTCACAGGAAGCAATCAATCAGGCCGATTCACATGAGTCAACAATTACTGGACCCCACACCTTTTAAATCCCATCAGCCCTGGAAATAGTCGGGCTGACCGAATCATCCTCCCATGTAGAGGTCTAATGTCCACCGATCGCCATCATACACACACAGTCGTATCATGTCTTCACGTGGCCCTCACAGAAAAGATGTTTGGTAATGTAACTCCTCACTGCATTCTTTCAAAGCTCCAGTGAGAGCGTCTGCTGGTCCGGCAATAAAAACAATCAATCTTCGACAGAGAGACAGACAGGAAGACGGACAGAGACCAGGGAGAAAAAAAGACGATCACCAGTGAAAGCAGACGCCAGTAACTCAAAAATACTGCTCCAGGAGCTTTGGTGATATATTTTAAAAATCTCATTTCAGTGGAGGAATAACACTATTAAAGCTGGACTGGTCCAAGCTCCTGTCTCCTCTGCTGTTTCTGGGAAAAAGGACAGAAACCACTGACATGGAAAATGAACATGTTGGATGAGGGGACGGTTTACCACCGCTGTGTTTTATGGTTATCAGACATAAATGAGTCACATAGTTCTGACAAACAGCAGACAACGATCCTCACAACTACTGGTGAGCCTCGACGGCGACAGCGAGACAGGACAGGTCGTCATCGCCGTCTGAGAGAAAAAACTTAAACAAGTAGGGAGGAACCGAGCGAGGGGAAAAGGAAGTGAGGGGAGAGGGAAGACATGACTGGGCTCCCCTCCAGCTTCGACACTCCCTACAACGATGTGGACTGGGATAAAAAAAAAAAAAATCTTTTTTGTAACTTTGGCCACAAAGAGATAATTTCACCATCAACTGTTTACTGTCCTCAGAATCTCAGCCAAATGACTAACAGCTGCTGCAGCCCGGCTCTGTCATGCATGCACTGGTTATTTTTAGCCCTGTTTGGGTAAATATTTGTGTGGGGACACCTATAATTTAGTGAGGGAAAAATCCTTCAGCCTTAGGAGGATAATTCTGGACTTTCAGCTCCGCTTTTTTTGCACTTCATTTTAGATAATGGCAGAGTAAAGATCTTTCAGAGTAGCACATGTCCGTCTGATCACACACAGCCCAGACAGCAGAAATGTGAACAATTCTACAACGGCAGTCCAGATGAGGCCCAACTGCACAGCAGGAAAAATCTGGGACAGATGAGAAGATCCAGATCCTACGCATTTGTACTGAAGAGGCAACTGATCCAGCAGCTACTCCTGCAGCAGCCTGGATTGTTTAACTTATCAGTTCTGGGTTGGAATGAGCTACTTCAAAAATATGTCCATATCAGATCTGGGCTGGATCAAAAGTTTTAATAAACAAATTGTTTTGAGGTTGAATCATCAACAGGAAGGATCTACCAAATCACAACATGATTTATGTCAAAGCAGGATCTGGGCTGGAGCTATGTTTTTGATCATCTTAATCTGGACCTATTTAGTGGACCTGATTCAGACCCTTTAATTGATCCTGGATGGGTTCTCTCTGGAGGGACACTAATAGAATATAGGATGGTACAATATAGGAGGCAATATGAAAAACAAATCTAATCAAATAATTTCACAATCCTGTAGTACCGCCGCGGTCCACCTAGAGGTCGCCAAACTTCTATTTCTTCTTGGAGTACGACTATCAAAGAGCAAATATAACTAACTCTCTTCTTTGCTCCTTCAAATATTTGTGTGGACGTAAAACCGAGATGTAAACTCGGAGCAAACTTTGCCTTTACGTCATCTCTACGTGTCTCTCTACATCTTATCAGCCAAGACAGACAGACAGACAGACACAGGCGGAGAGCATGCACTGGTTGGTGTTAAGGGTGGGGGTTCATGCAACAGGGAGCAATTATGCAAAAAGCACTTCTCCTTCTGGCAAGGATAAAGGATAAGTCAGAATCAAGGGCAAGAGGCTGACACCTCTGCACATGCAGTGGTGAAGGGAGGGGGCAGGGGGGGGGCAGTGTTGCAGTCGCACAGGGACTTATTGTTATTGCTGCAGTCAGATATTGTCGTCCCCAGTGAACGATGATGAATGAATCACCTTGCAATAGGTCAAGCTGCCTCACACTGTCGCTGCAACGGAACAAAAAGGTCTTCCTCTGCACTGTGGCCACCTCTGCTGCTGCTGCATGTTCAACATCACCTCAGCGATGAGGGAGAGAGGGAGGGAGGGTGGTGTGGTGGAGGATGGGGGGGTTAATTCCCATCCGTCAGCCTATTCGAGCAGGAAATTCTAATCTTCTAAAGGTTCTTTTTAATTGACTAATATTATCATCCCCCGGGAGTGGTTTTTAAAAATACCTTTGTGCAGCGTTTGTGGCTCATATTCACACATTACAGCATGTATCTGTGTGTGGAGCACAATTGGGTTTCACCTTACTTTTTTTTTTTTTGCCGTCACTCCCACCTCTAGCTGGCTGCTAAAAAAAAAAAAAGAAAACTAAGCTGTGAGGCATCCTCCAGGGAGAGCAGAGCGCCAGCTAAGCAAAGTCTTTTTAATTAAAAGCTTCAGTGAGGCAGAAGGGGAAGAGGGAGCCGTGGTGTCAGAAGTGGGTCATTGTCTCTTGACTGCAGTCTACCTGACACATTGATTTGTTAATCCTGTTCAATGGGCAGAAACAATGGCGAGAGGTTAATCCTGGCAAAGGGACGGCTTGTAGTCAATCTGGAGCTTCTCAGCGAGGGGAGCGGAGGGAGAACAAGGAGGGATTGAGTGAGGCGGAGGAAAAGACCACAATCATGCAGCAGAGTCATTTGTCGGAAAAAAAAAAAAGAACAAAAGAAGAGAACATTCCAGAGGTGGCTCTTCAGGAAAGCTCTTAACAGAGAAGGGATGTGATGGAGGCAGAGATGGAGCGAAGCGTGTTTTCAGTGCAGGCTAAATTATGCATCACTGTCATTCCATCAACCACACACACACACACACACACAGACACACACAGGCAGGAAGATAAGGAATTCACTGGCTGTGAGGAGCTCCCCAGCCACTTGTCAAAGAGTGGGTTAGATAAATCTAGAGCTGGAAGATTTTTGTCACTCGATGCACTACAGGGTTCAATCAGGTGCAGAACTGTGTCAGCTGAATCACATGATCTCCCCGTGTGTGCAGCTACAGGCTGTTAGCACGACTCCAGAATCACACCTCGTCTCCACCTCCACTTGCTGACACAGCCACAGAGGCATGTGCAGGAACTCTCGGTTCTGTTAATAGTTGTACGGCTGACGTAAACCCAGGTCACGTGACCCAGTTTGTAACTACAGTGTAACACTATATTAAATAGAACGCTGGAACTGAGCCTACTTTTTTTTTTTTTTTTACTTTCTAGGTCTAGCTGCCGCTGATTAGATATTAAAAGTTGCAGAACAAGACAGTCACGTCTGAGCCGGAGGTTCCGACCCATGTTCTAAAGGTTCTTTTTAATTGGACACTCTCTTGTTGAGTGCGTCTAAAAACTTTTAAATACAATATGTTACAAAATCTTGAATTTCTATTCCACAGATGTATTCTCCACTCTTCTTCTGTGTTTAAACAGATACTGACTGCATTACTGCCACCTAGTGTTTGAAGTAGACCAATATACACAAATAAAAGTTCTTATTTTTCGACAACTCTACTATTAAGTTCTGTCTGAGGCACGGTAATTTGGGTGACATAAAATGTGTAATTTTCATTAGTTTCCCATTTAGAACATTTAGCAAAAAAAAAAAAATGCAATTAAAGCAACGCTATAAAAAGCACTCAGCTATTAAACTTGACAAAGACTCATAAGGTTGGTGAATCCCTGCCTGCAGATCTAGTTAAAAAACAAAAACCCACCAACAAATCAAATATATAATGAGGTGAACAGCTGCATCCAGGACAGCCTGTTCAAACTGCCCCCATCTGCCCCACAGTCCAGCGGCAGGACGTGTCACAGTTGACTTTGCCCCCTCGCTCTGCCACTCCAGCCCTTTTTGCAGCTGATAACAACTTTGTAGCCTGGAAGGGAGGAGGAGTTATTGGGGGAGGCGGGGGAGGCGGGGGGTTGCACAGCTCCAAAGCCAGCTGAGAGCGTTTACATGGCGCACTGACAACTGACGTGCACTGTCTGAGCGACTGCTCGTAAAATGTGATAATGACGAGCCTCGGAGTTTGGGAGCATGTCAGGGCAGATCAACACTTCCTGCCCCCTGTGGGCTTCAAGGTGCTGCACCTCCACTTCCAGCTCTGTCGCTGAGAAGATGGAGGAAACTGATCAGAGTCATCAGCAGTGACACTGAGCTGGAGTCCAGTTCCCTGCACAGCTGGGAGAAAAACAGGAAAAAAGAAAAAAAAAAAAACCCACCAAACAAACACTGGCTTATTTTGCTCAGTTAGTCAGAAGCACTCCACCTGCTGGAACAAAGCAGTCAGAGCTGCTGCTGCTGCTGCTGCTCTCTCCCTGTATGAGCCTGTTGTTCCCCCTGAAGCCCATTTGCTGGCTGAGACCATCGTGCCACAAAAAAACATTCTGTTCCTCTGCCTCGACCCGTGCACACACTGATTCCAAAAAGGAGAGGTGGTGGGAAGAAGGAGGGAGAATCGTACAAAACAAATAAATAATGTCATGTCTCCAAGCCGCAGGAATTCCTTTCTGGCAGCGCTGCTCTTGCTGTAATAGTGGGAGAAGAACACTGGCTCTATCTAACCCAGATGTGCTTTCTTTCTGCTGCTGGAAGAAAGAAAGAAAAAAAAAAGTCCTGCTTCCAGAAGGCAGCAGAGTGAGCTACCTTTCCTAGCCACACCTGACAGGGTATTAGCTTGCACGTGGACCTCACATGCCCTCGGCTGTCATTAATCTGGCACGCAGGATGAACTTGAATGGCCAGACAGCGCCTGCATCAGTCCAAGTGTGAACTACAAGCTGCATTTACAGCCAAAAAACAAAACTGAAACCTGTTCCCGTCACTAATCGTCATGAAGCATTTGTTTGCAGTGGAAGTAAACAACAGAGCAGTGCAAAGTTGTAAAAAAGAGAAGAAAAAAAAAAAACATTCCTTTGCATTTTCTAGCTCTGAGCCTGCTGCTTTTTGTGAGTGTGGGGGAGGAGGGGTGGGGGTTTAAAGTTCAGGGGTCATGCTCCAGTCTGGGACACTTGCAGTGAGGAATGCTGGGAGAGGACAAAGCAGATGGGAGCTCTCCAGTGGCAGTGGAGCAGCAGAGTCCCCAAAACACCCCACACTGCCTCTCCTCTCCTCTTTTCTTCCCCCAGACTCAGGGGATACAAAAGAGTGGGGCCGTCCTGCGCCACCGAAATCAAGCAGACAACCTTGTCTGAACCCTGAAAACACTGCCGTCGCAGCTCCCGGCTGAGGACACTTCCAAGTGTGTGCGAGCTTCCTGAGGTTGTGAAACATACACTGCAGTGCACACAGGAAGTGGTCGTCCAGATTATCGACGCTGGGTCTAAAACAGCTGCAGGCAACAGAAGGTTAGCCCAGAGCAGCATCATATGATGGAGAGGAGGGAGTCCAGGGGACACGCATGGTCGCAAATATCAAGAGATGAATTGGCAAAAACAATCTGGACCATTGTTATTTCTACAAGTTGTTTTTTGACAGGTTGCAAAAAATGAAAAAAAAAAATTATATATATAATAGAGTTATTTAACATTAGTGCACATTGCTTGCAGCAGGCATTTCCCTTCCCAAGAAAAGCACAGCATCATATTGGCTCTCAGTAAACAAAGGATCATTCAGCTGTGTGTGTGTGAGAGAGAGAGAGAGGGAGAGAGGAGCTAATTCCAGAAAACATGATTCCAAAAATGATCCGGATGAGGTCGCGCTAGAGACGGAGAACAGGATTTAGCGGCGGAACAGACACAGACTGGATCAGCAGCAGAAATCCAGACCTAAATAATCGTGTATCCCCCGGATACCTCTCAGATTTGATTAATCCCACACTTCCTGACATTCTGATTAATTGTGATCAGTCGATACCTGTGCGTTCTTTTGTGTCAAAGGAGCCGGGCATCGTGCGTAATTTGCGTAATTTCCCTGATAATCATTGGTGGAAACACGTCGATCAGGAAAAAACAGTGCAGGTAGACTCTCTCTCTCTCTCACCCCTTCTCCCTCTCCTAGTTACCCCCCATCTCCCCCTTCCTCCCATCATTCCACATGATTAATGCTAATTCTGATGACAGCAGTGCTGTCAGCTGTGCGCTCAGATGTAGTGCCTTCAGGAGTCGCTCTAGTTACAAGAGGCGCACCATCACCGCTGAGGTGACCGAGAACAACTCCACACACACACTCACTGACTGACTGACTGCTGCTGAATACACAAAGCCGACCTCATCAACAGTTCACACACACACACAAAATGAATCCAAATGAGTGGAATCCGCTGAAACCTGCAGCCAGTGCCATCGGAGGCAACGTTAACGTCACAACATGTCAACGTTAACCAGCCGTGCCATTTAGAATAGACAAATCAATGAAGTGAATGGAGCCACACATGTAAATGTCGCTCCTAGCAGAGTGTGATCACCTGCACTGGGATTAAGAAGCCAGTCAGCCTGGTTTGGTTCGGAGAAAGAACAGAAAAGCAGAAAGAAAAGAAAAGAAAAGAAAAAAACTCGGCGTGTCAATATTTACCCACGAAGCCCGAAGTTAAACGGACGGCTTTAAATTTTAAAAAGTCAAAGAAAGGCTCCCACAGTGTGACACGGCTGAGTGAGGACACGGGAATAAACTAAAGCGTTATTAACAACACAAACAACACAAAAACTCAGGTCGATCAGGTTTTTTAACAACGGCACAAATGACAGTGGAAAAGCCGCAGCGGAGAAGTGTATGTGTATGTGTGTGTGTGTGTGTGTGTGTGTACTCACCACCACCAATTCAAGTATCCGATCAGCATTAGTGACAAAATAGCGTTGGTTGATCAAGCCGATGGTTCGGTGGAAGTAATCCGAACAGACGCAGCGGTCAGCGAGGTGGTCTGGTCTGGTGTGTGTTTGTCTGTGTGTGTGTTTGTGTGCATATATCCACGGGGTCTCGGCGCTATTGTCTGCTGAGTGTGTGCGGCGCTGCTCGGTCAGTCCGCAGCAGCTGAAGCGCTTCCCTTGTCTGTAGCACAGAGCGGAGCAGCGCAGCCTTTTTCGTCAGTGGAAAACTCCCTCCTGGCGTCTGCTCTGACGCAGGCGCTGACACCGACACAGGGAGGGAAGCTGCCTGCGCTGTGCCCACGCCGCTTCCTGCCTTACGTACGCGGACAAGAGCGAACACACCGGCGACAGTGGCGTAATCAGGGCAATAATGGCAATAATATCAGTGATTAATGTGGCCATGATTGAATATAATGGGCAGCTATAGGTGAGCCTCTAGTGGTAGGGTGATGAAATGACCATCACCTACTTGATAGATACACAGATAGATAGACAGATAGATAGATAGATAAATAGTTAGAGTTTAAGTTAGTTAAGGGTTAGCATGGTAGCAGACAGCTAAACGTTAGCCAAATGTGGCTTAAAATGGTTTTAAAAGCCCAGAAGTTATACATTTAACTTTAATTCCCAACATAGCTAATGTAATACTTTGACACAATAAGCTATTTAAAAAAAGACATTAATTCAATCTAAATCATAAAGTGATTAATTAGAATTAGACAACAAAAAAACTAGGTCAAATAATTCATGTTAAAATGTACCAAAAAGATCAGTCTCCCAGCAACATATTTTCCAAACCTTGTTCATAGTAGCAACACATGAAGGTTAGCAGTAAAGTAAATAAAATACAGATAATTAGCCAAGAGTTTTTCTCTTTTGTTTTTCTAGAAGACTCTTCAGTTAGAATAACAATGATGTAAAACAGAAGTGATAAGTCACAAGTGTTTTCCTGCATTGGTAACAGTTGTCAGGAAACCTCACAGCATCTTCTCAGAAGTTGATGAAAAAGATTTGGAACTTACAGAATGATGACATTCCAAAGCAGCCATTCAAATCAAACAAAAGACAATCTTCAAATTACTTTCAGTAAATATAGAAATGACTCTCTGTGAACTTTTGGGGGTTAAATGACACATGTGAATTTTTTTTCCACCTCCTTTCACAGGTGTTTATATTGAAGAAAACCAAAACAAACAGATATTTTGGAAAAAACCCAACAGTCAGACCTAAAGTCTCTGATCATTTTAATTATTTTTCTGATTCTTCTTCAACAGAGTTCAACACTCCTCCCTTAACTCCTCTGAGCAGGAGTAACGTAGTGAACAATGAGCAGCAGTGTCGGGACTGCAGCGATAGCATCATCTCTATTAGTGAGGTAGTGTGGGAGGCGCTGTTACGACGTGTGTGTGTGTGTGTGTGTGTGCAGCAGCATTTCCAGTTAAAGCCAAGACACTGACTAAGCTGAAATTATGACTCACGCTCTTTTTTTTATGGGACACAGACTCAAAGTTTTGTTTCAGAGGAAACAAGGGTTTTTACTACAACAGAGGAATCAACCAGGGTGATGTCAACAGCTGTAGCAACAACATGAAAAATTAAGCTGTTGGCGAGAGTTCGTTTTGGAAGCAGAGTCACTGAGGGAAACTGTGAGAAACATCTGAAAAGTTCGGGGCCAAATCAGGAACGGTTGTTTATTTTCTACACTCTCTGTTAGTTTCCATAAAACACTGACATTTTGCCCGGTACTTTCAGTACTAGACGTCATGGACACACAATCCTAGACGTTAGGAGAGACAGTGTTGATTTATCCTAAATAAAATCCTAATACTATCAATCGCCACTGAACCTTTACCTTTAAATTCACTCTTTCAACATTTCCTTTGAATTTCCCTAAAAAAATTATGACATAAATCAGGGGAAATTATTCTGCTGCTGAACTTTAAATGAACTTCCTTCCAATAAGAACGCTCCTCATCTACAGCCATTCAGACCAGTAACAGACCAATAACAGACCAGATGAACAGAGTCAGTGAGTAAACACTGACCAGAAAAAAACCAACAAATTCTCGACAGAAGAATATGTTTCCACACTAAAGTACGTACATGAGTAATTTCACATCCACACAGCAATGATGAAATTCCACCGTGTTGTAATCAGTGATGTGATCAGTCTGCAATGTTACACACACACACACCCAGACAGTCACACACACACACACCGTCTCCTTCTTCCCAGGTATTTCCTAGTTTCAGCTCCTGCCCACAGCCGCTGCACTGAGATACTTTGCTTTCCCTCTCAGCTGGAGCTGAACAACCGGAGCAGAGTGTTCTGCCAAAGTCAATACAGGTGCTCGACTGACATATTTGGGCAGAATTCTGGTTTAAGCTGTGTACATAGAGCTATGCTAATTGTCTCCTGCTAATAGAGGGGTCTTTTCTCAGAAGACTGCTGAAGCCCGAGGCCGTCAGCCACCGAGGAGAAACTAGAACATTGAGCCCAGTGTCATCACATTATTGCTCTATCAGCCTCACACACTGACTCTGTTTGGAACGTTCTATTTCCCCCAACACTTCAATAATGATTGAGTACAGATTCACTGAAGCCAAACATTTGCATGTTTGGACTGAAGTGAACAAACACTGGACCAGTTGAAAACAATCGTAACATGTTTTCAACAAAGAGTTTAAGGACAGTTTTATCGTTTCAGGTGTGACTTTTTACAGACTTCAAGACACTGGACCAAAACCAGGAAGCAAAACAAACAATATTTTGACTTTGAATAGAGATTTGAAAATGCAAGACTATATAATTTAGAAATACATTACATGCAAAAAGATAACAATTATCTTGATGACTTAATTTGATCAAAGTGCTACATTTGCCTTGATGACTTAATTTGATCAAAGTGCTAAAAAGTAGCAAACATTGCGAAACATTTTTAAAATAGCTTTAAAAATGTGAAAAAATGTTCTTCTAGAAATTATACAAGAATAGAGAAAAGAAGAAAATGTTAAAAGCCGTCACAACATAGCTTGTTTTCACAAGAATTGTAAATTGAAAAAAAAGAAGCTTAGCTATAGCTTAGAAGCTGTGCTAATGAATGCAAACGTTTAACATGTATTTAAATAGCTAAAAGTTGGCATAAAGAAACTTAAATTAGGTTTACTACAACAAAGCCCAAAAAAATGCTATCACTTTTAGCACAAGTTGACTTTGAAAAAAAGCAAAAGAAGAAAAAGTTTACTCCGGACCTGGAGAAGGTGTGTGTGGCTGCTGCCACCCTGAGCTGCTGTTAATTTGATTATTTACACTTGTGATTTGCCTCCTGTGACCTGTCAAAACAGCTGCTGTTAAAGGGCCCATAATCATGAGCCTGTTAGATAACAGAGATTATAGCCTCAGCATTAGCATTAATGTTGTTTCAGCTACGAGGAAGGAATCGATGGTGTGGAAGAGCAGTTCCTCCCAAACCTGGGGATCAATCCGAAGGGTCACGGAGGGTTAACTTAGTCTTTTTACAAATAGGATGGATCATCTTTGAAGGGCTCACAAATACACACTTCACACAGAGGAGATGATGTTATTACAGAAGGCATTAAGTAAACCAAAGAAGGAATCAGTAAACATTTACTGAAGCGCCTTCACCGTCTTATCACCTCCGATCACACACACACACACACGCATACATTTCAATAATGTCAGAGCCTAGTGCTTATGTTTACACGATGTATGGCAGCAGGTGAGGGTGTGGCACACGCTAATGCTCCGCTATCAGTCTCTGTGTAGTTCAGACAAACTCCACCAAATCAGCTTCCTGCTGTCACTCTGGAACACTTCGACCCACATGACACTGGAGCATCCACAGCCTGGAGCATGAAGCCCAGCAGTCACATGAGCTGCAAGGACACAGTCAATTTTAAAAAAACTGAAAGAAAAAAACAAACAAAAAAAAAAACACCTGCAGTGACAATTAGCCCTGTGTTGACCAAGTCTCAGAGACGGGAGGCATTTCTGCTCCTCCCCTTGGGTTTTTTACTCTGGAGTAGAGAGTAGTTGTAGCAGGAAGGCAATGCATTTAAAGTCAATGGGAAAAACAAAACATGAAACTGTTGACCGTGGGACGATAAATGTCGGCTTTAACATAATAATAATTAAAAAAAGCTAACCCAAAATAGCTCAGAGAAAAGTTATTTTCAGCTAAAACTAACTAAAAAACAACATGGAAAACAAGCCCAAATCAAACCTTCAACTAATTTCATTCAAAGTAAAAACCACCAACAACTGCAAATCTGGGAACAAGTGAACAAAAACACTGTTAGGAAATACAAAAAGTAGCTAAATATCTGTTTTTTAAAAAGCTACTGGTTTCTTTAGCTGGTTGTAGCTAGCAGTAGCAGTAGCAGTTTTCTAGACTTGGTAGGTTATACAGTATGTCACCTCCAGGTAAACCCTGTCGGGTGAAGTCCCTGAAACCCACTCCATAGGTAAATAAACACAACCAGAAGTTACACATAGGAATGAGTACCTATTCAAAAGGTCAAAACCCGAGACAGCTTAGCCAACAGACGACAATGTCTAAATCCGAAAAAAACAAAAGTGAAACTTTGCACAGAAATAGCTTCACATCAACAACTCTGCTCTGAGTCACAGCCAGGACGTCACAGTTGATATTGACTTCCCTTGGGGTTTGTGTTAGTGCTGGTGTCTGTGTGATGAAGTGAAGCTCGTAAAGTTCTCTTCAGATAAACAGGAAATGTCTCGGTGGCTGGAGCTGGTAGGGTTTGTGAAGTTCTGTGTCAGGAGTGTGGCTTCTCCTGTTTGATTAAACAAGGAGAAGTTCCAGGGAACAGCGCCACTCACATATGTTAACCTCTACTCCAAGAAAAAGAGCTCTGTGATTCTCTGTGTGTTTGTGTGTGTGCGTGTAGGATGGGGGGATGGGAGTCCGAGTGTGTGTGTGTGTGTCGGGGCTGAATACATTAAGGCCACTCTCTTTAAAAGTGTGCCAAAGAGTTCATGGTGGAAGACGCCCCTCCAAGAGCACAATAATGGGCTTCAATGCTTTCCATCTGCAGCGGCAGAAAGGACTGTGACTGCACGTGCTGCGCGCAGTGGACTTGAGCGACGTATCAATTTATGACTGAGCTTTACCCGAGGAGCGGGCTGAGGTTACGGTGTGAAAATGCCAAAGCCATCAGTGAGTGCTCCTGATTGAAAAACCATTCACAGCAGGAGCGCCGAGGTTCAGACCTGGGCATCGCAGAGAGAACTTTAAAGATGACTACAGGTTCACAGTGGAGAAAAGGAGGGAGGAGAGAGTGTCTGCTGCTGCTGCTGCTGCTGCTGTTGAGGTGGTGGTGG